GGTGGAAGGCATGATAGTAAAATTCGGCCTCAGAGCAACACGCAATGAAAACAAAGTGCGCAGTCTTCCATCAGCTTCAAAGCCTTGAAGCAACACATTTATTTAGTTGCTTTCTAACAGCAACAAAAACAACAAACATAACTATGTACAAGAGAAATCACACACGCGTCTTGCTCCCCAGCAGTCCGTTATCTCAAATCCACGTCATTGGAATGTGTGACATATACAGGAACTGTTCACAGTTCACACTCTAGGCAATGAATCATATCTATGCCTTTAACCCTAGCATTGTGTCCTGCACCATACGGATGCAGAACGCAACCAGTCAGAGTTGGCTTGAGGCATCTTCCTCTTGGCACGTTTCTTTCTTTCGCCCTCCATTTGTGCCTCTTCAAATTCTACAGCACTGCTGGTCACAGCTGACCTCCAGCTAGAGCGCTGAAGGGCCAGGGCTTCCCAGTTCTCAGTGTCTATGCCACAGTTTTTAAGGTTGGCTTTGAGCCCATCTTTAAATATCTTTTCCTGTCCTCTAACAGTGCGTTTTCCATTCTTAAATTTGGAGTAGAGCAACTGATTTGGGAGATGGTGATTGGGCATTCGGACAACATGGCTGGTCCAGCGAAGTTGATGGCGGAGGACCATCGCTTCAATGCTAGTGGTCTTTGCTTCTTCCAGCACGTTGACAATTGTTCTCCTATCTTCCCAAGAGATTTGCAGGATTTTTTGGATGCAATCATTCTAAGAGTTGTATGTGACATCTATAGATAGTCCACGTCTTGCAGGCATATACCAGGGTTGGGAGGACTATAACTTTATAAACAAACACCTTGGTATCCCTACGGATGTCCCGGTCCTCAAACACTCTCTGCTTCATTCGGAAAAATGCTGCACTCGCAGAGCTCAGGCGGTGTTGTATTTCAGTGTCAGTGTTGACTTTTGTGGAGAGGTTTGATGGTCATTGATCTTGAGTGTTGGAGTTGTAGTTCACCTACATCCAGAGAGCACTGTGGACTCAAACAATGATGGATCTGGACCAAACTTGGCACGAATACTCAATATGCCGAAATGTGAATACTGGTGGAGTTTGGGGAAAATAGACCTTGACATTTAGGAGTAGTTGTTGGGATTTATAGTTCACCTACAATCAAATAGCTTTCTGAACCCCACCAACGATAGAATTGGGCCAGACTTCCCACAGAGAATCCCCATGACTAGCAGAAAATAATGTGTTTTCTGGTGGTCTTTGGTGACCCCGCTGACACCTCATCATGACTCCCCCCAGTTGTCCCGACCCCCAGGTAGAGAAACGTGGTGTAGCTCAGAGCAACGTATTTGGGATCTAGCAGGTTCTGGAAATATTTTGCAGTGGCTTTTTTTCTCTTCTCTATAACTACCAGAGCAGCAAGTGGCAAAGAGGGATTCTAATGTCTTACTCCCGTATCCCAGGTTCTGCCTCCTGAGGCAATGGTCAGACTCTTCTCCATGGTAGGAGAGTTTCCTCATCAGTGAAGAACACACATAAAAATACTTTATTTATCATGTCAGAACAAATTGAGGGTACAGTTATAATGTATTTAAAAGAACACCAATAAAGTTAAAAACTTGGCATTATCCTAAATGTCCTTTGACCAGAAGTTGGCCACTTGGGAGTGCCTCTGGTATCGCTGTGAGAAGGTCCTCCATTGTGCAAGTTGCAGGGTTCAGGTTGCATTGTAGTAGGTGATCAGTGGTTTGCTCTTCTCCACACCAGAAGTGACTTGCATCAGAAGCTATTTGCATTATTCAGGGATGTGGCAATGACATTTTAGAGCTATGTAAGGAGCCTTGGAGACCCCAGTGGTGCAGCAAGTTAATCCACTGAGTTGCTGAACTTGCTAACAGAAAGGTCAACGGTTTGAATCCAGGGAGTGGAATGAGGTCCCACTGTTAGCCCCAGCCTCTGCCAAGGCTAGCAGTTTGAAAACATGCAAATATGAATAGATCAATAGGTACCATTTTGGCAGGAACGTGGCGGCGATCCATGCAGTCATGCAGGTCACATGACCTAGGAAGTGTCTACGGACAACGCCAGCTGTAATTAATATCTGACCAACATCAAAAATAAAGCAAACCATGATCATTTCAGTATTGAGTAATGCCTTCCTGGGTTGCAACTCCTTGCATTCTTTGCCTTGGATATTCTTGTTCTGGAGCCCTGATGGCACAGTGGGTTAAACTACTGATCTGCTGAACTTGCTGACTGAAATGTCAACAGTTCGAATCCAGGGAGTCCTGCTGTTAGGTCGAGCTTCTGCCAACCTAGCAGTTTGAAAATATGCACATGTGAGTAGGTCAATAAGTACTGCTTTGGCTGGAAGTTAACGGCATTCCATGCAGTCATGCTGCTCACATGACTGTGGAGGTGCCCATGGACAACGCCGGCTCTTCGACTTAGAAATGGAGATGAGCACCAACCCCCAGAGTCCGATACGACTAGATTTAATGTCAGGGGAAATCTTTACCTTTACCTTTAGTTCTTTTGAGTTTTGCATAAACAGTTGATTTCAAGGGGAAACCTTTAGCTTTTTAAAGAAGCCGGAGGTTCTATACTCCTGCATTTGAATGGGTACAACCTCTTAGTAGGTTAAAGTGTTTCCAGCAACTAGAAGATTATCCCTTTTCTTTTGTCATATCAGATTGTAGAACAGTCACAAATGCTGAAGGCATGGGGAATAGCTCTTGAAATGAGTTGTTGAAATGGGTTTTGACAGTGTCAACTTCGGAGACATCTCATTTAACCTTACCTTTCTGTGCTAAGAAACTGCTGCTTTCTGCAAATGGGGTGTTTTCTCCCAATTTTTTTTTTACTCCATAACATTTGGCTTTAGAAAGTAAGTGTGAAAAAGGTTAATATGTGAAAAGAAAATTGGGAGCCTCTCTGATCAGGCTGAGGAGGGAACATTGCCAGAAGGCTGTGGACGGAGGGGTTTTCCAAAGACAGCCTGCTGCTTGGGGCAAATGATAGGATGGTGCTTCTCATAATCCCACAATCAGAATCCAAAAGTAATAACAGATGAATGGTTGCTGATAATAAGCCACTGTATTTGAGGGCAGTTAGTCCAGAAGACATAGAACAGGCTGCCAATGTTATCCTTACAAACAAGAGGATCACAGTTAGGGGGTGGTTGCCATTGGTCCTTCAACATCTTAGGTGACTGCTATAAATATACCCTTTTTATAAATGGACTATTTTATTCTGATGCCAGTATAGCCATCTGTGACAACTGTGGAATTTGGTCAGAACTTGTACAGAGCAGTGTTCTATAGGTAGGTAAAGGTAAAGATTTCCCCCTGACATTAAGTCCAGTCACCTCCATTTCTAAGCTGAAGAGCTGGCATTGTCCATAGACACCTCCAAGGTCACGTGGCCAGCACGACTGCATGGAGCTCTGTTCCTGCCTGAGTGGTACCTAATGATCTACTCACATTTGCATGTTTTCAAACTGCTCGGTTGGCAGAAGCTGGGGCAAACAGTGGGAGCTCATGCCGCTCCTCGGATTCGAACCTGCGACCTTTCAGGTAGCAAGTTCAGCAGCTCAGTGCGGGGCTCCCCGTTCTGTAGGTATCTCCTTCCATTTTCACAAATTTTAATTCAAATTTTATTTCCAGCCCTGATTGAAGGATTATAATTATTTTGATGATTAGAATAGCTGTTAGGACGAGACCTTCATTGTTGATGGATAATTGGAACACAAATTGAGTGGTTGCCACCAAAATTGCAGAATTCAGACTACTGTATACTGTATATCAGCGGTTCTCTGTTTACCTGTCCGAACGTATCTCCATCTACGAACCATCTAGGACTTTAAGATTATCCGGGGAGGCCCTGCTCTCGGTCCCACCGCCATCACAGTCGCAAGGGGCCACCACAGACGAGAGACAGGGCCTTCTCTGTGGTGGCCCCTTGGCTGTGGAACTTCCTCCCTAATGAGATCATATCCGCCCACTCCCTTCTGACCTTCTGGAAGAAACTTAAATCCTAGTCATTGGATCATGGGTTCACACAATAGTTGTTTTAGGGATTTTAATGGACTGTACTTGGACTGTTTTGGGTGATTTTAATATGGCAATTTTAATCTGACAAACTAGTTCTATTTTTAAACTATTTTAATGTATATGGATGTATTTATTATGTGTTTCATATCATGTATGGCACTGAATTGTTGCCTGTTTGGAAGCTGTTCTGAGTCCCTCCTCGGAGGTTGAGAAGGACGGGGTATAAATGCCTTAAATAAATAAATAAATAAATTCTCAACCTGTGGGTCCTCAGATGTTTTGGCCTTCAACTCCCAAAAATCCTAACACCTGGTCAACGGGTTGGGAATTCTGGGAATTGTAGGCCAAAACACCTGGGGACCCAGAAGTTGAGAATCACTGCCGTATATGGACATATGTGTCCATTAGATGTTTATCCATCATTCATGGTGGCTAACAAAAATTAAAACAAATAAAAGACAGTATTGTTACAATCAACAATATAATAAAAACAGTTTCCCTCTCAAGGCAAATAATTTCACAATTATTTTTTTTTTGGTCGTGTCAGGAGCAACTTGATAAATTGCAAGTCGCTTCTGGTGTGAGAGAATTGGCCGTCTGCAAGGACGTTGCCCAGGGGACGCCAGGATGATTTGATGTTTTTATCATCCTTGTGGGAGGCTTCTCTCATGTCCCCGCATGAGGAGCTGGAGCTGATAGAGGGAGCTCATCCGCCTCTCCTCGGATTCGAACCTGCGACCTGACAGTCTTCAGTCCTGCTGGCACAGGGGTTTAACCCACTGTGCCACCGGGGGCTTTCACAATTTATGCATGCAATATGATTGGCATTTATTGTGGTTAAGGCATCTTAGAGTACAAGGTGGCTAATATAAAGAAGCAGGTCTCTTAGACCCAAGCCATTTAGAATCGTTGTTTCATATCAGTGCTGCATTAACCTTGCCTTCTTTTGTCGTTCTCTCCTGCAGAAACAATTTTGGGAGACTTACGCACACAATGGGAAAGGAGGAGCAAGTGAGTATGGGGACAAAATGCCAGTGGGGAAAGCACTTATCTCTGTCTCTCCAATGCTCCACTTTGCAGCATGAACCCACAATACTAGAACTGGGAGACTCTTGTTTTGTTTCCCCAAGACTTGGGCGGCATTACTTCTCTGGATTACAGTTCTTATTTATTTATTATTATTTATTTACTGTACTTATAACCCACCCTTCTCACCTCCAAAGGGGGACTCAGGACAGCTTACAAACTATGGCAATAATTCAATGCCAGACAACAACAATAACAGAAAAGCACAATATTATAAAAATACGAAAACATATACATATCAACTATAAATAATCTTTCAGATTATTAAAAACAATGGAATGTAAGAGTTAGCAATGTAATGCAAGAGTTAAATGCATAGAGCTGTGATGTATTGCTAGAGTGTAACTTTGGAAAATACCTGTGACAAAGACGGAGGCTGAGAACTGATAAGTCAGGAACATGTGCTTCCAACGAAAGTGATTGGACATATTTTTTTACTCTGCTCCTGTAAACAGTGTAGATTACAATAAAAGATAAGAGCCGCTCCAGGCTTTGGAGCTGACTGAGGTAGCACGCTTCATTATTTTCTTTTTGTGCCTTTGAGCAGATGCTCAAGAGGTCAATAAATCAACTTATCAAAGGTCTAGCACCAACTTAACTTTATAAACATTAAATTAATTGCTTTCGCTGTTCTTATACAGGCTCCACCATATGTATGGGTCATATTAATCCCTAATGGTCTGCATATATATTCAAGTCTTAAGATTTTTCCTGAAGCTTAAGAGTAAGGGGGTTGTTCTGATGTCACTGGGGAGGGAGTTCCACAGCTGCGGGGCCACCACTGAGAAGGCCCTCTCTCTCGTCCCCACCAATTGTCCCTGTGATGGGGGTGGGACCAAGAGCAGGGGCTCTTAGAATCCTCCAGTTAGCATAGCCAAAGGTCATGCTGGCTAGGAGATTCTGGAGGCATAATCCAAAAATAAAAAGAAAAAAGTCTTTTCTAAGCTGTTCCTCACAGGTACTGTATTTACTAATCCATTTTCCTGCTTACTCAGAAACCCCAGGTTTGGACGTGGCTGGTTTGGTGGCTGGCCTCGTAGCAGCATTGGTGTCTACCATCATGTTTGTGGTTGTGGCCATGTATTGTGTCAAATACCGGGCGAAAGAGAGGAGCCGGTCCAGGTACGAGTCAAGGTCCATGGGACAGTTCTGTGTGTATAAGAAATAAAAAGAAAGATAAATGCTCTTCACAAATTACGCCCATGTTAGGTGGGTCACCAGGGGTTGCTTGATTGGATCTTCCCAAAACTGGAACGGGCTTATACATTTCTTCTTAGGGATAGGAAATTTAGATGAAGAAAATTGTCTGAAGTTCCCCAAGTTGGGAAAGATTGTCTTATAATCCTTTCTAAGATTTGATTTCTTTCAAATGTCATTACATAATAGGGTTGTTGTAGGTTTTTCGGTCTGTATGGCCATGTTCTAGAAGCATTCTCTCCTGACGTTTCGCCTGCATCTATGGCAGGCATCCTCAGAGGTTGTGAGGTCTCCCTACCTCTCAGGATGCCTGCCATAGATGCAGGTGAAACGTCAGGAGAGAATGCTTCTAGAACATGGCCATACAGACCAAAAACCCTACAGCAACCCAGTGATTATGGCCATGAAAGCCTTTGACAATACATTACAGAATACACAACTGTTTCCATTGTGTCCAAATGGAATAACTGTATAGTGACCACTCCACATTTGAGTTTTTAACTTTTATAGATTTGATCATTTACAGTTTTGATTAAAATACTCTCTGTAAAATGAATCTGTAGGTCCTCCAGTGTAACTCTGTGGTCTGTTTCCTCTGTTGGGGAACCTAGAGATTATTAGAGAAAGCACCTCTTTAGGAATCTCTAGGTTCTCCAGTGCAGACTTGAACATAGAGTCATAGTGGAGGACCTGAAAAATTCCTAGAGATATTATCTCAGGTTATCTCAGGTACAAAAAAAAATAACAATCTTATTATTTGATGTATACTCGAAGTCTTTCATGGCCAGAATCACTGGGTTGTTGTAGGGTTTTTGGTCTGAATGGCCATGTTCTAGAAGCTTTCTCTCCTGACATTTTGCCTGCATCTATTGAAGGCATCAGAGGTCTCTCACAACCTTTGAGGATGCCTGCCGTAGATGCAGGTGAAACGTCAGGAGAGAATGCTTCTAAAACATGGCCATACAGCCCGAAAAACCTACAACAACCCAATATTATTAATTGACATTTTTTCTCTTTCATGGGGGCCCTGTGTTCCTAATCCCAGTCAATGCAGAGAGCCGACTATAAATGCTTAATGTATGCAGTTTCCTTAAAAAGTAATAAGAGGGGAAAAAACCACTGTAAAACTACAATGCATTTTTGTTCAAGGTATAATGATCAATGGCACATCTGCTGGGCAAAGGTAGTGAATGTGAGGTTCTCATGATAGTCAATTGTCACCACTACGAGTTACCATCTCTATATAAGTTGAAAGTTATGTTTCAGAAGAGAATACATGTAGCTTTTTCCAGGCAGTATAACTTGCTGTGCACAGTTTCAGTTCCTGGAGGAATAACCAGTGTTGGTCTGTTCAGCACAAACAACAGGGAGTCTTATGGCACCTTTAAGACTAAAATGACATTTAAAAAATTGCATCAGATATGTGAAACTTTATCCACATTTGGCAAGAATATGTCGTGGAGGGAGACAGGAATGAAGAATTGTAAAAGGTATGAATTGCAAAAAGTACCGTTCTTTCCCGAGGCAATGAAGACAGTGATGGCTTTGCAGAATCAATCATGATTGACTGGTACTAGTACCAAGTCAGCCTTGATTTATGATGATCCTACAAGTAAGGATCACCTGTCATCACCTGTCCTACCCAGCTCTTGCAAACTCAGGCCATGATTGAGTCTACCTATAATGTGTTTCTTCGTTTTCCTACTATCTTCTTACTTACCAAACATTATTGTCATTTCTAATGAGTCATATCTTCTCATGATATGACCAAAATACAGCAATCTCAGTTTAATCATCTTGGCTTCTAGGGAGAGAACAGGCTTCTTTTGCTCTAGGACTCATTTATTTGTCCATGATATCTGTAGACCTTTTCTCCAGCATCATATTTCAAATTAGTTGGTTTTCTTCCTCTCAGCTTTCTTCATTATCCAGCTCACAACTCTCTCTCTCTCTCTATATATATATATACTAGCCATTCCTTGCCACGTGTTGCTGTGGCCCAGTCTGGTGATCTGGAAAATAAAGTAACGAGAAAGTGTTGGTTTCTAATATATGTAATTGCTTTATTTTTGTGGGTAAGCAGTATTTCTTGTTGTTTCTTTGTTAGTGTTGTTGTAGAGATTGTCTGGTTTGCTTACTCTGGAACATGCAACATATAATTGCCCTTCTTTAGGGGTCCCTTTCAAATCTATGATACCATATCTGTGTGTGTGTGTGTGTGTGTGTGTGTGTGTGTGTGTGAATCATATATATCAATCTATATCTATGGCTAAATGGTTCTTTGTCAGGAGGGCTTTGATTATGATTAGTGAAGGGAGTTGGACTGGATGGGGGTTGGGACCTCTGGAGGATTCATGAGGGGGTGTCAGAGGGGTCATGAAAGACCACCAGAAAACACAGTATTTTCTGTTGGTAATGGGGGTTCTGTGTGGGAAGTTTGGCCCAATTCTATCATTGGTGGAGTTCAGAATGCTCTTTGATTGTAGGTGAACTATAAATCCCAGTAACTACAACTCCCAAATGTCCAGGTCTATTTCCCCCCAAACTCCATCTTTGTTCAATTTTGGGCATATGGAGTATTTGTGTCAAGTTTGGTATAGATCCTTGTTTGAGTTCATAGTGCTCTCTGGATGTAGGTGAACTACAACTCCAAAACTCAAGTCAATGTCTACCAAACCTTTCTAGTGTTTTCTGTTGGTTATGGGAGTACTGTGTGCCAAGTTTGGTTCAATTCCATCATTGGTGGAGTTCAGAATGCTCTTTGATTGTAGGTTAACTATAAATCCCAGCAACTACAACTCCCAAATGACAAAATCAATATTTTTTTAGTGATGGTCACTCCTTGGGTTAGAAGGTGTCTTGTGGCCAAATTTGGTGGCAATTAGTCCAGTGGTTTTTGAATGATGTTATCACTCAAAACAAACAGCATTTATATATACGGTATATAAATGAGAAATACAACTGCATGGACAATCCTAACTTTAGTAGGCAATTATATATTTTTATACTTTGGGACCTTGCTTAGTTCAGTCATAGCTGTCCTTCCAAGGCCTATTTTTCTTTGAATTCCCTGATTGAGGTCTTTGCTTTGATTAATGATTGGAAAATTTTGAACTATTTCAATATCTTCATCACCTACTTTGAAGCTAATTTTAGCTGGACATTCAGAAGGACATTGGAGTAAGACTACTTTGGCTTCTTTAATAAAGGTAAAGGTTTCCCTTGACATTATGTATAGTTGTGTCTGACTCTGGGGATGGTGCTCATCTCCATTTCTAAGCCAAAGAGCCAGAATTGTCTGTAGACACCTGCAAGCTTATGTGGCTGACATGACTGCATAGAGCATCGATACCTTCCTGCACAAGTGGTGCCTACTGATCTACTCACATTTCCATGCTAGGTTTGCAGGAGCTGGGCCTAACAGCGGAGCTCATCCCACTCGCCGGATTTGAAATGCCAACTTTTTGGTCAGCAAGTTCAGCAGCTCAGCAGTTTAACCCACTGCGCCACCGGGGCTTCTTTACTAGATGATTAATATTGGAAGCTGGATTGAGGAAGTTACTCAGTTCTATCCTTCTGAATATTTAGACATGGCTGGGCCTAGGAGTGGGGGGTCTCTATATTGCTATAGTCTTAGTCCTTCTTGATTGGTTATGTCCAGGAGGTGGTGGCACTATTGTTTGGCACTATAGGGTTGACAAAAGTGTAGCCCTTGGATCACATGCAACTTTCCTAGTCCTCTCTGGACACCTAGAAACCCCCATGTTTAGGTTCATAGGGGCCCTCATGCTATCTCGGCTAGATGGAGGAGATCATGCCACATTTTTATTATATTTGGTAGCTGTGGTGAAGCTCTTCTCACAAACGGCAAGTGACTTCCAATCCCTTGCACTTTTGACATAAAGTTCCCAAAGATTTAAAAAAACAAAAAACACTGGTGCACCAAGAGTGGCAGAATTTCTTCTATGGCCTCAGAGGGACTTTTTACATCCAACATTTTAATCTTTGGGGTCTCATGGGATGGAGTGACTCTTTGAAATCATATGTGGGCCTTGTACTTCTAATTCTGCTTTTTCTTGTGCTGCATTACCATCTACATAAAACTATTGCAAGAAGACAACCAGACCTTTGGACTGAGATACCATGAACATGCTCATGACACGATGTTCTGTTGCTCTTTGTTACCTTATTCCAAGAAAGTGGTTGACATCCTTCAACATTGCTTGAGTTTGATAATAGCCTGGATGTGGGTGAACGAGGTGATATTAAATGTAGATAAATCTGAGATAGTAGAAAGCCTTACTTACGGAATTGATTCAACCAGTTCTGGAGAGGTCATGACCCAACCAAAAGTTCAGATTGATAAGATTGGGATCACTCCTTGATTCTGTCACCGCCTCTGGACTTGCAAGTGTGCATTTCCAGTTACGTTGAGCATGTTAGTCAACTGCAATCATTCCCAATCCAGTTTCATCTTATGTATGCTTGATTAAATTGCAGTTAAAACTAATTCAATGCAGTACCCAGGACTATCTTTGAAGATCATCAAGAAGCCTCAGCTGCCGATTGGTTCACTGATTGCATCATTCCACCACTGAAAAATCAGTGCTGGTTCCAGTTAGGTCTTGGGGCCTGGCCTCTAATCTCCAGTTTTCAGGGTGATGTGAAGTAATACATATAAGTTGCTTAATGGCATCATCAGGAGCCATCTCCTCTGACATCACTAGGGTTTGCCCCTCAATCCAAGGCTGAAACCTTGAAATCCTAAGGCCTGGGATAGTCCTGAACCGGTACTCTATTGCCAGTTGATTTCCAAGCTCAGTTCAAAATAATTGCTGGAAGCCTTTGGTATGTTATAGAAGATCTTTTAGAATCTTCTTTGATAAGATCAACATTTCTGCAGTTTGATTCCCCTGCCATTTCAGATGGTTTGCTTAGAAGTTACACATTCCTTCCTTTTGGTCAGCAAGTTCATCAGCTCAGCGGTTTAACCCACTTTGCCATAATTATAATGTCTTCATTAAATATTATGAAATCAATTTCCCCACACTAATTATTAACAAATGAAATTTCCCCATGCATAGTTGCTTGAATAATATTAAATTATATGTATATATAGCGAATCCTTAAATTGTTGAATTTGGCTAATTATGATATCGTTGATACAAAACTCAAAAGAACTAAAGGTTTCCCCTGACATTAAGTCTAGTCGTGCCTGACTCTATGGAGTGGTGTTCATCTCCATTTCTAAGCCAAAGAGCTAGCGTTGCCCGTAGAGGTCATGTGGCCAGCATGATTGCATGGAGTGCTGCTACCTTCCCGCTGGAGCGGTACCTATTGATCTTCTCACATTTGCATGTTTTCTAACTGCTAGGTTGGCAGAAGCTGGGGCTAATAGTGGGAGCTCACCCCACTTCCTCAATTCAAACCGTCGACCTTTTGATCAGCAAGTTCAGCAACTCAGTAGCTCAAACTGCTGAGCCCCCAGGGACTCCAAAATAACTAAACTGACTATGATATTTACTGAATTGCATTTAGTTCGCTTTCACATTGACATATAACAATTTTCTGAATTTCAGTGGTCAACTTATTTTTAGCAAATAAGGTTTTGGAGGCCTACTTTGCCCACATTCAAACTATAACTAGACACTATGGGAATAGTTTGTTGATCACTCTGAGCTTCTCTTTGTGTCCTTTGGGCAGGACTCAAGACAACTTGCATCCCCTCACCAGCTTGGATGAAGAGCCAAAGCCTGAGACTGCACCAGGGCTTCCATCCTATGATCAAGCAATGGCATCTTCGGGAGTGCATGATGCACCACCTCCGCCTTACAACAGGTACAAAAATTACTGGGATTTCACCCCAGGTCTCTTGTTCCAAGCATCATACAGAAGCTGAGATCCAAAAATGGCTGAAGAGCTCAGTTTAGGGTGGTGACCAAAACCAACTATCCATAGTGAAAAGAGGAAAGGGGGCAGGGGTATATAGTATAGCAGAAGATTTCCCATCTCAGTTTGCTATTTAAATGCCATGATGTATCTTCCAGTGTTCGTGAAAGAACTTGGGGGGGGGGGGGGCTAGCTCTATGACATTCATAGAATCTGTATTTACCACCCGAGACCCCTGGCAAGAAAAGTGGAAAAGCAAATGTGATGTGATATAAACTGACAGATTGCTAGGCAGGTAATACAGCAGGGAAAAGCAGCATTGAACTCAACTTTCTGCTCCATATTTGGCTAAAACATCAGAATTGCGTGATTTCTTTTTATTTTTCTCCCTGATATTGTTGCTGTGAAAACTGACAGTGTTAATACCTCATAAAAAAGTAAATTTTTGTACAAAATAAATACAGCGACCAGAAAAAAAAACTGCAAGGAGAAGTGTTGTTCTATCTGAACAGAAATGGGCAACTGAAGTCCTTTCTTTTGGCCTTCAACTCCAACTAGTGATAGCCAACATAATCAATCCTGAGAGATTTGGGGGAACTGCATTCTAAAAATATAAAGTGGCCACAGCCCCAGCACCCACCCCAATATCAGAAGAATAAATTTTCCAAAAGCAACAATAGGTTTAATATGTTAAAACAGCATTTCTCAACCTGAGGGTCACGAGAGAGTATCAGAGGGGTCGCCAAAGACCACCAGAAAACTTATATTTCTTAGGAACCCCTTTGACAGAGAAGGCTGAAGATCTCTCCGGCCTGTCCTCCTCTTCCTTTTTGGAAGCAGGCGGCGAATCCTCCCACCAAAAGCCCTCCTCTGCTGTGATTGGATGGCCTCTCCAACAAGGAGAGGGCTGTTTCTGAAACTCCAAGTGAGAAGGGGAGGACAACCGTGCATGTGCGGGGCACAGGAAAGCATGCGAGGCTGGAGGGAGGCTTGTGCCAGCAAGTCCCTTCAAAGCATGGGGGTTCTGTGTTGAGTTGAAGTTTGGCCCAATTCTGTTGTTGCTCTATTTTCCCCAATCTCCACCAGTGTTCACATTTTGGCATATTGAGTATTTGTGCCAAGTTTGGTCCAGATCTATCATTCTTTGGGTCCACAGTGCTCCCTGGATGTAGGTGAACTACAACTCCAATATTCAAAGTCAATTAAAGCCCACCAAACTCTCCCAGTACAGTGTTCCCTCGCTACTTCGCGGTTTGCTTTTAGTGGACTTGCTGTTTTGCGGGTTTTTGAAAATATTAATTAAAAAGATAAAATACAAAATATTTATGTTCAGTGGAGGCCAGGGACCTTGGAAGTCCAGTGGCTTGAGGCACAGCGGGGAAGGCCTACCTCCCTGGCCTGCTGCTGCCTGCATGGCTCCAAAGGCTCTGCAAGGGTCTGCGGAGGCCAGGGAGGCAGGCAGGTGGACCGGGAGATGGGTAAGGAAGTGCGGGTAAGAAAATTATATATATATATATATATATATATATATATATATATATATATATTTATTTATTTAATATGGCGCCCCTACTTCACGGAATGGAACCCCTGTGATAAGTGAGGAAACACTGTATTTTCAGTTGGTCATTGGAGTTCTGTGTACCAAGTTTGGTTCAATTCCATCGTTGGTAACGTTCAGAACACTCTTTGAATGCTCTATAAATCCCAGCAACTACAACTCCCGAATGGCAAAATCAATCCCCCCCCAAACCCACCAGCATTCAAATTTGGGCATATCAGGTATTTGTGCCAAATTTGGCCCTATGAATGAAAATACATCCTACACATTAGATATTTACAATTTGATCGCAAACAGTAGCAAAATTATAAATGTGAAGTAGCAACAAAAATAATTTTATGGTTGTGAGGGTCACCACAACATGAGGAACTGTATTAAGGGGTCGCAGCATTAGAAAGGTTGAGAAACACTGCGTTAAGACCAATTAAAATATCACAAATAGAGAACAAGCTTTCAAATAAATGTCTTCTCAAACTGGATTGGGAGACATCCAAAAAAGCCATTGTGGTTTCTAAAGGTCTCCGAGGAGCTGAAACTTTGAAAGGACATGTACAGAAAATGGAAGGAGTGACATAAAACTAAATTCAAGTCTCCAGGGCTTAGACGACGTGCATTTCACTGTGTGGAAAAAGCATGTGGTTGTTTTAAAGCTGTTGTCTGTCATCTTTGAAAAATCTTTGCTCCTCCTCTTCACCAACCACCATCAGTGTGTGGCTTCTTTCTCGGTAATATGACACTCTGGTTTGCTTTCCTCTTTTTCCAGGAACAGTACCAACTTGGCCCCTCCGACCTGAGTTGCTGACAGCAGGGGGAACCTTCCCGAGAGACTTGCTCCACCTGGTTGCACATTCCTAAAAGACACTACACGTGCACGTTGCAACAAAGCTGGTGGATGAATAGGCACACATGTGAAAACATGCGATGCTGACCAATATTTATCGGATATGCATATGCACTCAATAGAGACTGGGTGTAAATATGTCAAGTGTGCTGCAGAATTTTACCTTATGTCGCCTGAAAGATAAAAATGTGAAATTGTCAAATGTGAATATTACAATGCGTATTCACTACATTGGCATGAAAATTAATCACCAATCTGTACAGGTTTGTATCCCAAAATCCTTTATCACTAGCCTCTTCATATTGAACAAGGTTTGGTATATACAGTCTCGATCTCTGTCTTGGTTTTAACTGGACAGAGTGTGGGGAGGATAAACAATTAAGCTTGAGAAATGAGCAGACACTTTGGAGCCTAAACTGTGAACCTTATGGCCCAAGACTGTGTAAGCTGCTATGTCCATTTAGTGTTCCATTCAAGTCTAGATGTGAAAGATTTGCCCCTGCGATCAGCTTGCAATTTGAAGCTTTTTAAATGGCTGCGTCTGACATTCATTCTGTAACTTGAGTTTCTACTCCTGGTCTCTTCAAAAGCAGTGCTTGCCTACAATGGATACTGATCTTTGATTCCTAATCTGGAGAGATGCCCTTCCATGCTTAAAAATGTAGGAAGACAGAATATCTGTCCACCAAGCATGGTATTGTTTGATCTAGTCTGGCAGTTCTTTTTCAGGCTCTCAGATAGGAAGAGGGGTTTTTTTTACATGGTAGTTATCTAATCCTTAAAATAAAAACCTGGAAGTAACTAGACCTGGGAGCAATTGCGTACAAAGTATGTCCTTTTCCACTGAGCTGTGACCCCTCTCCACTTATAAAGTCTGAGTTGTTCTTCTATTATTTTGAGTTGTAATTATGGGAGGAGTTTATTTATTTATTTACAGTATTTATATTCTGCTTTTCTCACCCCGAAGGGGACTCAGGATGAATCGCAATGCACACATACACAGCAAACATTCAATGCCATTTTTAGATGTACAAGATAGATAGATAGAGGTAATTCAGCATTTTTTCCAACTTCGGCTCCTGGAGGTTGCTCGTTGCCGGCCACAGGGGGGAGATGTTGCTTTATCCAGTATGACGCCGAGCCTTTGATCATAGTATTTCCTCCTTTCTATTTGATCTCCAGCATTTTTTATGGTGTCATAAATTAACTTCCCCATTTCAAGTGGTCCCTAATTTCTCTACCCAGTGCTCAGCTATTTTCGAACTGCTTAGGTGAACAGTAAGCTGAGCTATTAACAGTTGGGAGCTCAAACCCAACTCAGTTTAGATCATATCCTCCTAAATAAGAAGCCCCTCGTTTTCCTTCAGTTTCCACATTTTTGGAATTGCAAAAAGTTTGTAAAATTGAAGTTTCAGCTGAACAGTTAGAAATACAGTTTAAGTAGCCAAATAAAAGGGCAAAGTCACCAACAGAGCTTTGCAAACACAGCAAATATGTTTTCTAGAATAATTTACATAGGAGAAATTCTTATTAGGGGAAATATCCCCCCTAATTATACCCTTGACCTTATCCCCGTATTTTTAGTGAAGTACAAAAAATAGTGAACATGCAAACAATTATGTGAGTGAGTTTTGGAAATACAGCAGGAGGATGTATGTAAAATTTATAAATCAGTTATAGGAAATATGGACACTGCTGCAATGATGTAATTGTGCAAGAGCAGAACCAAAATGTGTCTTCTGTGGAGCCAGGCTTAGCACAGCAGGCTAAACCGCTGTGCTGCAGAAAAATCCTACTGATCGAAAGGTCAGTAGTTTGAGCCCGGGTCGGAATTTAGCACCCGCAGTTAGCCCCAGCTCACCTGCCCAACTAGTAGGTCGAAAGCAGAAATGCAGGTTGATAAATAGGAACTGCTTTTAGTGGGGAGATAATAAAGGCGCCCTTAAGGACATCGATCAGAGATAGTCCCGTGGCCAGAGTTGAGCACAGCCTTCAAGATGCCAGAAATAAGATGGAAAAAACTGCCTTTGCCTCTGCTTATGTTGACTGTCCTTGTTAATTGTGTAAGTGGAATTGAATGTTTGCTGTGTGATCTGTAAACCGCTCTGAGTCCCCTTTGGGGGGAGAAGGGCAGGGTATAAATACTGTAAATAAATAAATACATACATATACTCTCAACAACTGTAGTGCACAAAACTGTGTGACAGGGAATGAGCATAACTGTACAATGAATTAAGCAAAATGTGTGTGCCTGAACATATGTTAAACATTGTATCTGTCCTTCATTTCCACTTGCCTGTCCTGAAATATTGCTTGTTTGTCACTGAATGCGGAACAGCAGCCGCTGCATAGCTCTGGAGAAGGGGAAGCAAGGGCACTATTCAGATGAACAGGAATGTACCCAAATAATTGTGTTGTCTGTGAAGTTTTGATCATGGTTTGTGTTAAAAATAAAGTATGATCTACTTTTCATAAATCTGTCTTTCCTGTCACAATACTCCTTGTTTTGAATTTTGCCCCAAAAGAAACTACCTCTAGGATACCTTAGGGCAAGCATGGGCAAACTTTTTAAATTGGGGGTGTATGGTGGGTCGGGAGGGAGGGGGGTTCTCCCCAAGCTTCTCCCCGCCCTTTCCGCCCCTTCCTCTTCTCTTTCGGAAAACGTTTGGATCCCAAATGGGTTGGCCTTCGTCAGGATGAGATGGTGGAGGGGAGAGAAAAAGTGTATCCATTAGACCCCGTATGTCCTACTCCTGATAGATAATCCTAGAGCTGGAAGGGCCATCCAGTCCAACCCCTGCCATGCAAGAAGGCACAATCAAAACACTTCCAATAGACTGCCTCTGCAGAAAAGCCTCCAGAGAAGGAGACTCCACCACACTCCCAGGCAGCCTATGCCACTCTCCAACAGCTCTTACTTTCAGGAATTTCTTCCTAATCTTTTCAGTCAAATCTCTTTCCCTGCCATTTGAACCCATTGCTCCCTTGTGCCCTGGTCTCTAGAGCAGCAGAAAGTCAGTTTTCTCCCTCCCTCCCCCTCAATGGGACACCCTTCCAACTAAACATCTCCCAGGAGGAAAGGAGGAAGGAAAAAGAGAAGGAAGAAAGGAAGAGAAGGATGGATGGATGGAAGGAAGGAAGGGTGGAAAGGAATGTAGGTAGGGAAGTAGGAAGGGAATGGAGGGAGGGAAGACAAAAGGAGAAAGAGAGGAAAGGAGGGAGGGAAGAGGTAAGGAAGGAAGGATGAAAGGGTAGAAGAGAAGAGAGGGAAAGAAGGAAGGAATGAAAGAGAGAAGGAAGGAAGGAAGGAAGGAAGGAAGGATAGGATAGGATAGGATAGGATAGGATAGGATAGGATAGGATAGGATAGGAGAAAGGAGAGAAGGGGAGGAAAGAGGGAAGGAATGACAAAAGGGTGAGAAGAAGAGAGGAGTGAGGGAGGAAGAGGGAGGAAAGGAAGGGGGGGATGAAGAGAAGGAGGAAGGAAAGAGAGAAGGAAGGATAGGATGGTGTGAGAGAGGAGGGCCTGAGAAAAGAGCTCCAAGGGCCACATCCGGCCATGGACCTGAGTTTGCCCATACTGAGTTTGCACAGGTTCATAGTTTGGAAGTGATCCTGGACTCGGGTCTCAGTGGTGGCCAGGGGAGCTTTCGCACATTTAAAACTTGTGCGCCAACTGCGTCCGTACCTTGGGAGGTCGGACTTGGCCACGGTAGTCCACGCTCTGGTTACATCCCGAATAGATTACTGCAACGGACTGTACGTAGGGTTGAAGACTGTTCAGTAGCTTCAGCTAGTCCAACACTCAGCAGCCAGGTTGCTCATGGGAGCGGGATATCGAGAGCGCACAACGCCCTTGCTACGCCAGCTCCACCGGCTGCCTATTAGCTTCTGAGCACAATTCAAAGTGCTGGCGTTGGCCTATAAACTCCTTAACGGTTCCGGCCCAGTCCGAACGTATTTCCCACTACAAACCACCTAGGACCTTAAGATTGTCCGGGGAGGTCCTGCTCACTGTCCCCCCACCATCGCAGTCGTGGTTGGTGGGGACAAGAGAAAGGGCCTTCTCTGTGGTGGCCCCTTGGCTATGGAATTCCCTCCCAAGTGAAATCAGATCTGCTCCTTCCCTCCTGACCTTCCAGAAAAAGGTGAAATCCTGGCTGTGGTATCAGGCCTTTGTGGACTAGACTGATGTGATGGTAGAACGATGGTTTAATGGACTCTGATGGACTATTTGTAGGACGACGATTTAAACTGGCGATTATTCTAATGTTTAATGTATTTATGAAGTTTTTATGATGTTTTATACGGTTTTACTTAAGTTGTATATTTATGCTTTTGTTGTTAGCCGCCCTGAGTCCCTCTGCGGAGGTCGAGATAGGACGGGATATAAATGTCCGAAATAAATAAATAAATACTTGATCTACACTGTAGAATGAATGCAGTTTTGCACCACTTTAACTGCAATGGCTCGATGCTAAGGATTCCTTGAATTTGTTGTTTGGCGAGGCACCAAGACACTTTGGCAGAGAAAGCTAAAAACCCTTGTAAAACCACAACTCCCAGGAGTCCATTGCATTGAACCATATAACTCATAACCAGCACTATGAAATGTGTCCAGAAATGAACTGGCAGCCAATGGAAGTGTTGCAACAAGGGAGTTTTTGCTCCACATTAATCATCGTCATAAACATGAATCCCCACTTTGCTCTGTGGGCGTAAGTCCAGTTTATAGTTTCGCAACCCCCAAAGTCATATTAGCCATGGCAACCATTAAAAACAGTTTAGAAGTAACAACAATTAAAAAATATGCTCAATATGGCCCCTGTACCCACTTGAATTTGTGGTTTTGTTTCTCTACTTCCAACCAAATATAGCTTTCCTTCCACATCTGTGGATCTGATTAAAAA